CTGACCTCTGAAGAGCAACCCAAAACCACCCAGTGAGCAGGGGAGAATGAAAAGAGCCTGAGGACTGTGCCATGACAGGGCCTATGCCCCACTTGTGAAGCTGTGGGCTGCAGAAGCACATCAACCCCCACATCACCTGGTTTCTATCCCCTGTGCACTGACACTTGCCTCCCACTCCAGGACAACAGTGGCACTGCCAGCAGAGGCCAGGCATGTCCACTGCGTGAACATCTTCCCTTCCAAGGTCACATTCAGGTGGCTGGGAGCTGAGGAAGCCTGCTTAAAACTGGGTTGAGGACCTGTATGCATTGTCAACAGCTGCAGCCTGCCAGCCTCTCCCTGGACCTTGAAAAGGCTTTGAGCAACCAGAGCAAAAATGATGCCACTTTCAGCTAGTCAGACTTAATTTACTTCACTATGCTGTAAACGCTCTGATTTTTTTCCCCATTATCCACAGAGACTTCCAGGATGAGCCAAGACTCAGTGTGTGCAATACAAATGAGACAAGCAGTAGAAATAAAAGATAATCAAAACAAAAAAGAGAAATCCCTTTAAAAGTTATTTAGGGGCTCCAGGGAAAAAGAGAAGAAGGAAAAAGCCCACAAGTCTATTTCCCGTCCTTTCTTTAGATCATCTTAATATAGCATCTGATTGCAGTTAACACAGCTAAGCAATGGTCCTTTCTTTTGTTTGATGCCTTTTGTAAATACGAGGTTCAAACAGTGGCTCTAAAACATCTTGACTGCTGAGAAAGATATTTGTATGTTGTGGCCTCCCAATGTGCATCCTTAGGTAAAGGACAGCTGATCTCAAAGACAATGTTCTTTCATGTTGTTTAAATATGAACACCATTAACTTTTCCAAAGCACCCAGAGTTTTCATCAAAGCAGAGCTTCCTGATGAGATCCTTCCACAGAAACCTTTATTAGCAGCACACCGCCCCAAAACACCACCCATGCTCCATGAGCAGCCCAAAGCAGATGTGAGGGAAGAGCTCAGCTCTGCTGAGGACCACAATGGCAGGTCAGGGCCTCTCCCCACAGTATAGAAGGAATGATGCTCCCGAACAGTGACAGAACAAAATACCCTGGAAAATAGCCTCAAACAAGAAGACCACTGACAAAATGTTAAATAATGCTTCTTCTATAATAAGAACTAGGTCAGTGCAGCTCATGAAGGAGGAAGTGGCTCTCTGCTGGTAGCAACGGTGTAATTTTTAGGCTGGTGATCAGCACAAATAGCTGACTGCAGGTGGAAGAGTTCTCTAGTTCAGATGCACATAGTGGTGTGAAAGCTTTTGGGGGAGGAAGGGGAGTTTGCTACAAAGACTTACCTGGAGACCACTCAGACTGACTTATGATTATTGAATGTGTGGTGAGGAAAACATCACCAGCTCCTCATTTATTTAAAACAATATGACACATGGGTCATCTGCACAAAGTGAAGGTTGAGCCAAACTCGCACTTGTGAACAGCATGAAGTGGAGGTTGCACAGCATCCAAAAACGAAGCCTGTTATGAGTTCAGGTTAAAAAAGAGAGGGGATGGGTACATCTCCAGTATACACAGGGCCACACTGCCTGTATCAAGGTAAGGACAGGGGTTGCGGCACTTCAGCACAACTAGGCATGCAGTGCTTAAACAGGTACGTTTTCTGCTTCAGAGAAGGAAATCCCAGTAGAAACTCAAAAGTACCAGATTACAATAGTATATATGATGTCAAGCTTGAAACAGTAACGAAAACTATTTCCAAATTAAACAAAAAAGAAAAAAATTGATTATACAAAGAAGGAACCAAAAGCTAAAGACCTGAAATGAGCAGAGCCCAACCACACAGCCATCCCCATAATTTCTTCCAGTTGCCACTTCCTGCTTGTAAGCTGTACTTGCTCATATATGAATAATGTTGTGAGTAGAAATCAGCACCTTCTCATCACCATGAAAAGCAGGCATGTGGAGTTTTCAGAGACACCTTCCCAATGTGGGCAGGGGGAAAGAGAAGCATACAGGGCTGGAAACACTGAAAGAGCATTACAAGTGAAGGCAAAATAAATTAGAGAATCCAGCTGTACTCCCGACCAGCCATAATCCCATGCCAGCATCAGTGGTACAGTAGTTCAGAGTGGACAGCATTACCTACTATTAATATATAGGCAGGTACAAGATCAGATTACTTGAAACATCATGGTCACCAAGCAAACCTCAACTGAAGGACAGTCTGAATACTGGTATGTGAAAACCAGGAAGACCAGTAAATCCAGAGATTCCTCTTCCAAGACTATTACATCTCCAAAACAAAACCTATTCAGATGCCAAACAACAACACACATGCTTAGACAAGAACAAAAGCACTTAAATAAAACCTTTCCTGATGAAGAAAACCAAATTATGCATCACCTGCAAATCACTTGGCCCAGAACTGCAGCTGCTTCACAGTAGCAGTAGATTTTACACTTTTTAACTACAGACTATGCTAAGGGTCCAATCCTACTCCTAGCATTGCTCACATCTCCCAGACATCAAGGCACAGAGGTCAGGACTGTGTTTGCAAACTAGCAGTATCAGTTTAGGAAGTACAGCAATCACATGCTGGTCTCAGGATATCTGGGGTAGGGTACATCCCCCACTCTGCCCCCAGCAAACCTCATTATGTGAAATAAACTGAGAAAATCAACACTGGGACTTACTTTAAGCTTTTTCTGAACAGCAGATCCTTTTTCTTTACACTCAGATCCACAAAGTAAGGAAGTATACCCTTAGTTAACTAAACCCTTACATCTTAGCCAACTAAAGGCAAAATAAAAGCCTGGATTAGCACACCCACTGCCCTCAAATGTGAGTGCCATCCCCTTTGTTTGGCACTGCCCCTTGCAGGCAGCTTGCCTGGTTTGGGTCTTAGGAACAGCCTTGTGAAGAGCTAACGTTGCCATCGTGTGGCAACCTTCAGAAACAAAACTGAACCAAGTGTAACCTCATAGCTTTAAGAAGACAAAGCAGCATAGATGGCATTAGCACTCGTGGATTGAAAGGAAGGTGGGCTACCATCGGTACAGAGCTACAGGTGGTTTCAGTTGCTAAGAGGAGCACCAGACGCTGCTCACATGGAATATGCTGTCAGAAAGACACAGCACAAGTACCAAAGACCAGTATATATTCTACTGTTGTCTTCTCCCCTTTCCTCCAAACTAAAACCCAGTGCTTTCACAGCACTTGACAGCAGACAAGTTTTCTTCTAAGGCACATAACACTTACTCTCCCTAACAGGGCCATCATTTTTAATGCTGCCCTCCCACAGTACACCCACTTCCACAGTGCAGTGCTAGAGCAGACACAACCTGCATCTATCTTTTGTACTGTTATAAGGCTCCTGTGGAGGAACTGCCAGGCAGCATCACAGGCTACAGCACACACTGTATCACGGAAATGTTCTGGATAACTCAGTGGCTGCCAAGCAGTACTAGTGGGAATGAAAACTGGATAAATTGATGAAGTCACAACCAGTTACCCTTTGGAAGCAAGTACCTTTAAAAAACCACCAAATAATGTAGAAACAGCACTTGTGAGCTCATTATGACTAAAGGCAGTTTGTCTACAGGCACTTGTACCAATATTCCCCATCTTATGTAACTGAGCTTAACAGTAGTACATAAAAAAAAACCCAAACAACCCTAAAGTACAAATCCTTCACCTTAAAGGACCTCCAGGTTGACAGACCTTTCAAGTTCCTTTCCAGTTAAGAGTTTCAGAGTACGTGGATTTAATCACTTTAAAATCCAATTTAAAATCAGGATCCCGATGCCTGAACATGGGGTTTAATCTCAAGTTGCATAATTTGATTCTTTTTCCTTAGTTGTTCTATCCATTCATATCAACCATGTTCATATCAACTCAATTTCCAAGGGCATAAAAATAGCTCAAGACAACATTATACGGTTTGAAGTGTTTCAGCATGCAGATGGCCAATGCTGGCTGAAATAAGCAGCACTAGCCATGTAACTACTTAAAAACACATGATTATATTATATATTTTATTATGTATTTGTTTTTAAAACTTATATTCTCCCTCCTCCATTTTATATTTCATTATAAAAATAATCTGCTTTTCCATTACCAGAGATCTCAAGACTTCCACTATTTCTTCACTCAAAATGAAGAACACATAACCCCTGGCAACAAACTGCACAGGGGAAAACACAGGAAAAGATGGATTATGGCATTAAGATATAGAAACATAGTGCAAAGCACTTCAGTGCCTCAAATGGATTGAGTAATTCTTAGGTCATGACCCCTTTTAGTTAATCTTGACCAAAAAGCAGGAATTATATGCTGCCTAACTGTAATTACTCAGCTCTTGACACAAACTCTTTATCTTTCAACCATTCTAAAAAACAAGCATGCTTAAACACAAGTCACCATAATAATTATTAACTACTAATTATTGTAGCTGTACTTACAGGACTACTGTGGTGTTAGACATCTGATGCAAGTATTCCAGGTCAGTACTTGAACAGTGGTGGAAGGCTTGGGTTTTTTTTAAACATGGGAGTCATTTAAAGCATTTGAACAGCAACATGTCAGTCTTTCAAACACTGACATACTTTGATTCTAACCAGAACACATACTTTCAGTTTATGGCTTATACAGAAAAAATGAGGGTAATCATTTCTCACCTTTTATACCCAAGGCTGTGCAAGTAATCCTGTACATTCCCAACTGTTTCCATAACAGGCTGCTTTAAAATGTCAGGATCTGGACAACTAACCGGGCATGCAAAGAGTTCAACTGGCACTAGGTATAGAGCAGTCAGCGCAGTCTGAATGGTGTCACAGAACATGACAAACATTTCTGCACACTCCTCGAAACCACCAGAACCCAACACTGGGACATTATTAATAAAGGAGACAGACAACAATTCTTGGTCAGATGCAAAAGTGAACTTATTAAAATTTAAAAACAGATGTTAAACCATTTGTTAATTTTAAAGAATCAGAAGACACAAAGTCATACACAACCAGAAGTTCATTTTTATTTCTGTGCCTTCTGCGCCTTCTCCTGCTTCTGTGCCTTCTGGGGCTTTGGCGCCTTTTCTGCCTTTGATGCCTTCTGTGGCTTTGGCGCCTTCTCTGGCTTCTTGCCCTTTTGAGAAGCCAACTTCTGGAGCTTCTTCATTTCATGCTTGATGATCCTGTTTCTCTGTAAAAAAAGAAAATGTTGACCATTAATCAGAATGAAACCAGCAACGACTCAAATATGCCTTAATTTAAATACTATGCTTTCAGATTCTGTCGTCACCCTTTGTTAACCAATTTTATTTATATTTTATAGTCACAACATCTACCATGTGTTACATTTAAAACGTCAAATTCCACCTAAAACTGTTCTGATAAATGGTTAACATCATTATGGCTGGTAACTTGGGCATCCCAGTATTTTATGTGTATAGAATGAAATACTATCACAGCAACTCATCGAGAGCATCTGATTTCATCAGCAGGTAATCCCTTCCTCAGCTATAACCAGGGGGACTGACACACAGATCACATAGGTTCAAGTGTGACCAAATACTGAAGGGAAGCCCACAGTAGCATGAAAAATTCAATGCATTCACATACTTTATGCCACTTCATAACCCAAACCAGCTATGACAGTAAGGCTCCCAATGTCTGCATCTGACTCTATATAATATAGTAAAAGCTACAAGCAATAAAATAGCAACACTCCAATACTTACCATTTTCTTTGCTTTCATAACCTTGTAGCGATCAAAGTCAGTCATTTTGGCTTTCTGTTTGAAAAGAATCAAGTCATTAAGCTCTGACATACTCATATACAAGTAGTACAACTCTGTTTCAAAACATTCCACAAGTAACCCTGACCATTTCCAATTAGGCTTAGCTGCACATCTGGAACTAGTTCACTGTTTAAGGCCTTTGCTGGGAAGCAATGGTGCAGGAAGAAAGGCGGTTATAGAAATGACTTAACAAAACCATATCTGCCATTAAACTACAAAAGGCTGAAGCCAACAGGTAGCAACTTCAACACATCTATGCCTCATCTATCTTTAATCTTAGCCTGCAACTGCATATACACGTAGTTTATTAGATTTAAGCTGATTTTAGTAAGTATAAGCAGTACAATGTGTCTTATGCATCCAGTGAAAGACGTACCTTTTCTCGGGCTTCGATCTTCTTTGCCCATCTTGTCGCTGCCCATTTTTCATTTATATTCTCCTTCTCCCAGGCACGACGCACACACTTCTGACGAGCACTGCAATACAACAGCCACAAAATTGTATTCAAAGGCTTTATAAAAAGGTTCTCTCTGATGCTGCCCCATCAAATTCCATACATCACATTACTTCAGACACTTTAAGTCAATGCCACATACATCTCTGTGACCTAATGAATGTTTTGGCGTGCAAACGCTTTGCTAGGGCTCACAGATGATTCCAAAAGGCATACTGAGGTACTATTCTTAGCACTACTTCAGAATCAGAAAGGCAGCAATCCTTGATTTTAAATTAATTTATACAGTAACTAAGCTAAAAAGAACTCTTGCAATTCCAGTGCAGTTCTGTACACAGGGATTACATTTAATGTCTAAAGGTGATCCAGATAGTAGCAAAAGCAAAGATGCACACAGTATTTACTGCAACTGCTTTCCCCCACAACTATCTGCAAGTTACCTAGGCCAGCATGGTGTTTCCTTTGCTCCTGCACAGCAGCTATCAGCCAACACTGGTAATGCAAACTTAAATGCATTCAACTATAATACAGCCTGTCAAGTGCTTACTGTGCATACATTAATCCATTGACTTCATGTTGTACGAACCTTACAGATTTAGTAAGCATCAGATCAAATAATTCAGTCATCAAGTGACAGCACAGTTTGTTACAGAGGTCAAAAACTGCCAACAACTCACCTGTGTGGGAACTTGAGAACAAAGTCAGTCAGCTGCATGCACTTGAAGGGCATAGCCTGCCTCCTGACACCACTGCAGGGGCCATCAACCAGGGCCTGAAAAAAGAAAACACATATGAGGGCACACTGGACCAGCACTTTCCCTTCATGCTTGATTTAGACAGCAACTTCCTAATACTTTATGAATAGCACCTTGACAACAATGGTCCAAAATTACATCAAGCAAACAAAACTCGAGTTTAGTCTTATGTACACAACCCAAGCTTTACAAAAATAATTTTAAAGGCCTAATCTTTGGTTTTGGGGAAAAAACAAACACAACAAACTGAATGTAAAAAGAAAACCCCCCACAGAACTAAAATTACATATTTCACCTTTTTTTTCCCATTTTTCTTTAAGCATTACACAAGGAGAGTCCCCCAGCCCAAGCACTTGCTTTAAACACACATCAATGCCATTCCATTCATAAATATTACACTCCAACTGGCATCACTTGTCCACTTCTACTCCTAGGAAACATAGCAGAGAAGGGAATGTATCACTTTCCAGTGATAAAAGCTTGCTACTGGAAGATTCAAATAGAAAATGACTACTAAATTCCGTATTTTGTCAATTGCTTATTTCTTTGAAAACCCTATTTACAAGCTTAGTGTACAAGCTTCTATTAAGCCATAAAAATTACAGGTAGGGCACTCATGGCTTACCCTGTTTTGGTCAATAACATCCACAATGGCCACCAGCTTGCCAGCATGAGGCCCGAAGGAAATGAAGGCAACTCTGCCGATCTCGACGAAGCGTTTGAACACCTGGGAGCAACGAGAATTGGTCGCAGTTAGGTGAGAACAGACCGAAGACCCTCACAGCCTTTAAAGCAGCTTCCCAAGCTTCCGAACCGCACGAACCCCCTCCGCCCGAGCCGCGGGGCCCACGGTAACACTTCCACAGCTACTTTTAGATGACTCCGCTGGAGGCCGCGGGCAGGCAGAGGCGCGGGGCTGAAGCCCTGAGCCAGGCACCGTCCTGCGGACACGGCCCTGCCCGACCCGCACCCACACACGAGGCCCGGTCCCAGCCCAGCACGCGTGGGGCGGCCGCGGCCTTCCCCTCACGGAGGGTTGAATGCGTGAGCCCAGCCGCTCAGCCAGGCGCAGGGAGACACAGGGGCAGCGGGAAGGCACCGGAGGGAGAGGGGAAAGGCAGCGGGGAGCCCGCCGGGGCCGCGGAGCCCAGCGCCGGCCGCACGTACCATGATGGCCGCCCGCGAGCAGAAAAGGAGGAGCTGCTCCTGCAGCGCCCGGAAATCCACGCGGAGCCGCCACTGCGCGTGCGTCGGAGGAGCGTCACGGTGGCGTGCGTGCGTGCGTGCGTGCGTGCGTGCGTGCGTGCGTGCGTCTGTGCGTGCATGCGCGCTGGGGGTGGGTAAGGGAAGGGCTGCTGCTATCTTGCCGGGCCCGCGTGTGTTGCCGGTAAGGGGTGGTGTCGTTGAGGATGGCAGCGAGCTGCGGTTCTCCCGAGGTCCAGGGGAGGGAGGACAGCCTCGGTGCGCTTGGTTCCGCCTCACCGTCAGGCAGCGGCGCGGTGTCGTGGAGGATGGCGGAAACCTGTCTTGTGAGCTTGTGTTTGAGCTCAGGTAGAGAACAGCCCACGTGCTGCGACGCGCTCTGTTACAGTTGTCCTCATGTTCGAGACGGGACGTTTGTTTTAACGAGGGGATGAGGAGGAACAAGGCCCGGGCCGTGGGTGTTCGCTCGCACCACCGCGCAGAACCGGCCCCTCGTTTGGGAGTGTGGCCTGGCAGCACGCGGGGTACAACAGAGCAGATGCGGAATGGGGTGAATCCAGCGTTACCGGTGGGCTCCGTAGGTGGTGAGAAGTTGGTTTAGAAACAGCCGAAAGGGACGTTCGTTCTGTTCTTGGGCACGTTATCTCCGAGCTCGGGAGACAAGTGCAGGACAGGCAAGCACTCCGGGTGATACACTTGCTTCGTGGCCATCTAAGTGAACGTGCCTTGTGCCCAAAATGATTACTGAACTTAAAACTCAAGTAAAACCTCCCCGTAGTGGGTTACACCAGTCTACGTTGCTTACTGTTCTGTTCTCTTCACCCATCCCGGCAGTGCTGAATTACATCGCAGTACAAGTTGCTTTCTTCCACCAGTATTGGATATTGCTTTATGAGAAATTGTCATTTTTGCCCCCCCCCCCCCACCCCCACCCCATGGCCTTATGCAATTCATCTTTTATCTCATTCTTCTGGTGGATTAATTTCCTGCTGTTTTTCCATAGATGTGTTTTTTCCTGTTAGACAATCTCTATTCCCTATAGGGGAATGCCTATAGTTCCTTTTCCCAGTGCCCCACCGTTCTTTCTCTAATGCAGCTGCATCTCGATCAGTTGGCTCTGGTAACCGGGAATTGCTGCTCCTCTTTGGCACATAAGCTTTCAGCTCTGTATTCTGGCCCTGAATCTGAAAGAAACCCTAGAATGTGGTGGTGTCCCTAACTGAAAACAGTGTTTAAAAGTGGAAGCTTATGTGTTTGTCTGTGTTGTGTATATATGTTTAAAAAATAAATAAAAATCACAAGAGTGGCTTGGTTTTAATTCCTTGTTAAGAATATTGAATCTGGAGATAAAGAGCACTGTCTACTGTGCAGCATTTTGCAGCATCACTTTGGGAGCTTGCTCATTTCCACCCTCCAGTAAAGCATTTCAGAGATTTCCCACCTCTCCAGTAATAACAGTGTGTCTACCAGGATGACAACATTGATACCGGGGGAAATCATAAGGAAAAGTACACTTGGATTAACTTTTCACAAGTTAGTTTTATTAGTCTTCATATACAGGCAATAAAGTGTATGAAAAGACAACCTACAACTGTGCAGGCTCTCAATCACTGCTAATACACTGTCTTTCCCAGACCCTTGTTTGGTTCCAGCTGACAGGTCAAGGACCCCATGGCTGATGGGGTTCTGCCTTGCACCTCAGGGAGGGTTTAGCTCTGCATGTGAAGCCATGACCACCACCACTGCCCCAGCTTCCCTCCAAGAAGCAACCACTGCAGGGAGCCGAGTGCAGCCTAGCTTTCTGCTTGTCCAGGCATGAACTGCAGGTAAAGAGGAGGTGATTGGCAGGGGGAAGGCATTCCCTGTCTCCATCCACGTCCAAATGATTGTTAAATTTGTTCTGTAGCTGCCAATTTCAAGGAAGCACACTTCCAAGCATGTTCCATTTCTGTAAACCCATGACTGACTGGCCCTGCCATTCACAAAGCAAATGTTTTGTAAGGCAGGTACATATTCCAGAATACCATTTGGTAACTTAAAATATTTTAATGCTGTCATCCAACTGTTGGGATTTTTTACCCTTAACTGCAGTCCCAGATGCATCACACCCAAGATAAAGCTTTTATCTCATGCCATTATTCTGTAATGCCAATGAATTGTGAATTAAGCTTTTTGGTTTATCAGATGTAAGTTGGGTGCTATAGAGCATTTTATCACCTTGTGATACATTCTGCCTTATTTTATGTACTGCTACTCCAGTAAGACTGACAGGACATAGTGGTATACCGACACAGAAGGGACAAAACCCTCCCTGCTGATCCTCTTGAAAATCACTAACTTTCATTCTTTTTTCCATTTAAAAAGGTATTTAGTTCATTTCAAATCATCCATCAGCCTGTGAAACACAAAGCAAAATCCCAACCAAAGCTGAAAGAAAGTGATACAGAAGCAAAAAACAGAACATGAAAATATTAATGGCTAAAAATACTGGCCACTGTTCTCTCACAACCTAATCAATATGGGGAATAGATGAAGTCAGGATAGAAAACACGCTACATGCCACTGCAATTCATAATCCAGTGTTAACTTGACTTTGAGTGCATGCACTCTTGCATGCCACACAGCTGCAAGGAAACCTGTACTCAAGTGGCCTCACAAACTTTAGCTGATTAGCAGTATATGCTGAATATGGCAATTTCCCTTCTAGTTTTTACTTTCTCACACTGAAAAACTGCATTAAATGAGTAACCATCCCTTTACAGAGGAAAGATGTAAGCAGGGGAAACAACGCACAAATGGGAGCAATCCTGAGAAGATGGAAAGAGAGGAATGCAAACTGACTGGCAGTAGCTATTTGGAGGACATTTGGGGATGGAGCTCCATGGGGGTATTGAGTCTGGGCAAAAGGAGACAGTAGAAGGGGAGGAGGAAAGTGAAGCAGAGATGCTCTTTTCTCCTCTTGCAGGTCCTCAAAAGTACAACAGTCCCTTCTTCCTGCTAACTCCTTCAGCTGTATTACCGTTGCAGTTTCATAGATCATGTTATGGCAATATAAAGAGGAATTAACAGTGTACAAGGGGAAAAGAGGACAGATGACGTGGCAGGAGTCTGTTTTCAAGGGTTATTTCAGAACTAAGCTGAAGACCAAAAGACAAGCAGGTAAAAGGGGCATCAACCATGAAGAACGCCTTGAGCAGTGGGTAAGATTGTAGTCTTATGACTTAAGGGAATGAGAGGTTTGGTGAAGAATGCTGGGGCTTTCAGTCAGCTGAAAGTCAGGGAAGTCAGCTCTTTGGAGCACAAAGGCAGCAGCACTTCCCAAAAGCTCCGGAGTTGATGTGTTAGGTAGATCCCAGTGCTGCTGAAGGCACACGGAGGCCAGGACAGGTAAAAGGCTTATCGAGGCACTACAAGCCTGACTGTAGCTCCAGCAATACATTCCTAAACCCACCTCAGAAAGGGTATTCTGCTGCCCTGCAGGGTGGATCCTGTTCCTCTTGGCTCTGAATGGAGGGCTCAACATGTTAATGCTTCAGAAGGTCCCAGGCCTGAGAGTCTATCCAGACAGTTGAAATAACACACACATGACAAGTCAGCACTGACTGCAGCTGCCTGAGATCAACAGCTTAGTGTTTCAGGATGAGAACCTACCAGAAGCATTTCTGTAAGCATTAAAGGACACTGAAAACCCCAGTGGCTTCTGGAAGTAACTATGAGACATTTAAGTCTAGGATCAGTTACCAAAGCGTGAAAGCATTTTGTTCAACCTTCAAAACAAATCCTACGTACCATAGCGGAGGCATGCCAAGATCTCCGTGGTACAAAAAGATATAGCTTAGGCTTGAAACTGGCTTGACATTCCTGAGAGGTATTGGCAATTTATTACATCTTTATGCAGACCAATTTGGAACAGCAATAGAAGAAACTCTACCCTAGCTGTTCCTTTCAGTTGCTGTCATTACCCAGTGCTTGTTCCAGTTTCAGAAATGAGATTATCTGGGAGCTTTCAGTGGCAGCACAGCACACCAGGACAGCTGCTGTGTTTCATGGCACACTTAAACAACCACCACTGTGGTCACATCTATTTATCAGCACAGATCAACATGAACAACAGCAATAATACATACCTGTCAGGAAAAGGCTATTAATCCCTTATTAACAAACCTGCCCATGGTTCCTCTGCTGCACACTGGATGAGTGAGGTTTACAGAAACAAGTGTCAAGATAAAAGCACTCCAAGTCACCGTATCACAGATTCCTTAATGTCTCTCCTCAGTGCTTCTGGTCCTGAACTCTTTCTGCATTTTGTTTTTATTTCACCCTCCATTTTTCAAGAATAAAGTCCTACTTCATAGCACTATAAAACTTTCCAGTAAAAGTCATTCATTCTGGAATAAATACATGTTCAACACGGCTGCCATTCTTCTGGTGACGTGATGCAATCCACAGGTACACAAGGAAGAGAAGACACAACAATGCTGTAGCTGTGAGGCAGACAAGGAGCCCAGCAAACAAAGCAGGTTTCAGAGGTAACTGGATCAGCTTGCCTTCTGCTGGGATCATGTTTGTGAGGCTTAACATGTAACCGAGTGACCACGCTATGCTGCTGTTGCCAACCTGAAAGACAGACAGAATTCCCATTGGACAGTCAAAGAAAAGGGGTTCCAAACGCTCAACTGCTGATGCTGACAACTGCCCTTTCAGTTAACCAAGGAGAAAACCTGAGTGGAATATACAAAGATATAAAACCATTTTAAATTGCTCTTGTTTTTGTGGTTCCAGAGGATGCGGATAAAATTGATCACTGGGCTAAAGAAGTGAGATGCAGGTATTAGATGGATGGGTACAAGGATGTGGGTGTGTATGCAGGCAGCCAGTTACACGATTTTCTGTCCAAGAAACACACTTAAGAAAAAGAAAGAATTTAAAAATAAAAAATAAAAATAAAATCAGCATTACTGTGCTAATTCCTAGAATTCCATCAACAGCATGATGGAGTTGAGAGAGAAACTTCAATAAATGATTTAATGTTTTTAATGAACACTTTCAAGCAGTCACCTACTGGTGGTAGGAGATCATAATGGCCTATAATATTGGGTCCTTTTTATAGTTGTGTATATCTTAATACCTTCTGTTTCACTAATAAGAAGAAAGCTACAGCAACAGCAACTGGAACACAACACCTGAGCAAAGAGGTAAGGGGAATCAAAGGGGTTTTTCTTTGCTAAAAGAGGGGAAAAAAATCTCTTATTATAAGGTTGATAACATTTGCACATCATCTTGCCCTAGATCTTGCCCAGACATTTGCACTGGTTTAAGGTTCTTTTCATTCATTGTGTTCACTAATAAAAAAGGAATACAGGCCTAGCATAGGCTATAAATGTTCACCCTCCTCTCCTGAAGAAACTACGTAAACCCATTGTTTTGCTACATGAAAGTGCTGAAGCATTTCCAAACTGTATGGAGATGATGAGACAGTCTGGGACAAGGGTTTAAAATAAGTCTCTGTACAGTCGCAGAGAGGACTGTGGGGACCACACTTCTTGATGTGACAGCCAAGCTTTGCTAGTACCCATGCCTTCCAATATGAAAGCAAGGGTTTCTTAGCAGTATCTTTAGAATGGAGATATATATATAGAGAGAGAGAGGTAGATACAGATATATATACACTCAAGTTCATCACAAGTACTCTGGTTTTTAGGAGGAAAACTGAGGTCAGGGAAGACAGAAACACAGCTATGACAGAAATGTTATAAGCCTTCTCTCTCTGCCAGCTGAAAGCCAGTACCCCATCAAGACACATTCTTATTCCAGGGAACCAGATCATGGCACAGATGGATATGCCAGTTGAGGATTAAAACTGCCTGAGTTGCATCATCACCACTCACCGATCACAAACCAGCTCTGCTGGTTCCCCCAGGGCTCTGCCTGCAGACAAAAGCAGCTCTCCCATCCAACCCAGCAGTGGACCTTGACGGGTGAGGTGTTTTGAGCTACTGCTTTCACCAACTGGGACAAGGTTTAACACACAATTATTTGATCCTTTCTTAAAGCTCTTACAAAGAATCTAGGCAGCATCTCAAGGTAATGCTGCAGCCACTAGAACCAGACTGAAATTGCTACTGAGGCTTGAGAAGTAGTTTTGCCTCGTGCCAAAGGTCTGACAATCATTTACAAAGGCTGGTTTTGACTGTTTTTGTAAGCTGCTGCATCTTCTCTTTCCTTCTAAACTTCTTTGGATTAAAGGAACAATAAGAGGAGATTATTATTACTCACCTCCTTTTGAAAATGTATCCGTGGCCAAGTTTCTGCATCAAAGTTGTAACCATGTATAAGCAAGTAATAAATGAAATTGGCTGAAAAACAGTAGGATCTAGCATATACTTCTTCAAATTTAGGCAGCATAAACTGGAGCTGAAAGCAAAAGGTTGGTTATAAACATGGAATTTACACAAAACGCTTCAGGCTTTATAACTAGAGAACAGTTTGGGTTCTAATTAGAATTTATTTGCATTTTTCAAGAACCCCAAATTGTGGACAACAAGATACAGAGATGTAAAGAAAGAAATACCCTGACAGTGACATAGTTTACGTGGTAAACAATGAAACTACATCTTAGACTATACATAAAAGATGGAGTATGTTATGGTTTCTATGCTTTCCATGTCATCTTTACAGCATGGCTAAAGCTCTGAAATAGATTTTGAAACCTAGTCCAAGTTTTAAGCATGCTACAAATACTACATGGTTTGAAGGGCATTGGGAAAACAAACATTGAGGTTAAACCAGACCTTCTGAAAAGGTTCTGAATGCTTGTTCAGATCGTGTTCTTTTTATATGTCCCTTTTACAGATACAGAAGGGAAAGCAAAACCAACCCAAAATCCCAGCCAACCCACTCACCTGTGCCCAGCTCTGGGAACAGAAAAACCACATACTTGAATTGAAGTCAGCCAGGGAAAAGTGCCCGGATAAATTCAAAGCATTAATTGTATAGTAGAATCCTGAGAAAGCCTATAGGAAAGGAGTAGATGGCAGGCCTGTTATTTTTATAACTATAGAAATCAAAAGCCAGGAGGCTCAAAGAGAAATGGAGTTTGCAAACCTACCACAAAATTCCCTTTAACTTTTGGCTGATGTGTTCCATGAAATGGACAGTCTTCTCTGTCTCTGCAAGCACTGAAGTTGAACAATGAAGAAACCATCTCCTGGCACAGACCTGGATCCCCTGTTCCATGGAAGTGCACAAGCTCACTTGGGTGGTAATTTGCTGGTCTCAGGGACTGTGTACAAAGGCTGCCAGAGAGATGCTTCATGGTGAATGCAGTAGTATAATTGTGAGGGTAACATGGATTATCCACATTGGAGCTGCTGTTTGATTTCTGGGAAAGAAAAAAACCAAACCCAGTAAAGGCTATTAAAATGCAAGAAGGACCCAATTTGACTGTAACTATGGGAATCTTTTTAAACCACACATGCATGTAGTTTTGCTCTCTCCTCTGTCACGACTGATATCAGTACAACACTGCTGATCATTGTCATTCATAGAAACTCCTTCCTCAAGAAAGCATTGGCAAGACCAGCAAAACACTTACAGGACCAGTTGGGCCTTTTTATGTCAAATGGTAGAAAACTTACCAATTTTTAACAGATACAAGGATCTTTGTATGAAACCCAAGTGTGTTGGTCCATAACTAAGCACAACAGAGCTCTTACTGTGGTCTCCAAACCCCACCAAAGGGAAGTCTGGAAGCTTCCAAACCCCACCAAAGGGAAGTCTGGAGGCTTCCAAACCCCACCAAAGGGAAGTCTGGAGGCTTCCAAACCCCACCAAAGGGAAGTCTGGAGGCTTCCAAACTCCAAAACTCCACACAAGCTGAAGAACCTCCTACAATTACTGAACACTTGGAAGAGCAACATAGCAAAGGGGCTTAAACAGACCTGGAGCAGCAACGCTAAAAGCCTTTTCTCAGCTTCATCTCTCCCGTAGCACTGGAAGCTCTGTGTGTAGACGTTGTAGTTGTAACCGTACAACTTCACTTGTAAGGTGCTATTGAAGTTCTCCTGAGAGTCCTCTGGGATAAATGAAATCTGAGTGGAAGCTCCTCCAAGGTCCAATGCACCCATTGTCTCTTTTCTGTAAGGATGAACCCACGTTCTCCAGAGGTTTCTCTACATGTAAAAGTAAAAGGACTAATCAGATACCATCTGCTTGTTCTCCCTTTTGGTCAAGCTTTTCTGCTCTTAACTTTTGGAGATTTCCCTGCCTCTTTGTCCTGTACCCTTTCAGAAAAATCAGCTCTTGGGCAAGCATGCAGGTGTTTTTCATGGAAGAGAGATGTATTTGCACAGAATGGAGTGATCTTGAGAGATGGACAAAGGAATGCAGTTTAGCATTCAACTCAGAGGGCAGCACAGCAACCAAAGCATAGGACTAGCCAGGTCAGTATCCATACTAGAATGCAGGGTATTACGTACCCATGAGAACTTGAACAAACGTGGATGTAAATAGTATGAAGATTTGCTTGTTTCAAGGCAAGAATGATTATTAAAGGAATAGAATATTAAAAGATCACACAGGAAAAGGGTGAAAATAGAATGAAAACCACAGAAAAATGAAAGCTACATTGAGGTCAAAAGAACAAAACCCCCTGGTCTGCACACTTCCTTCCCTGAAACTGCAGTGGCAATAAATCTGACCCATTCAGCTGGCATTTTCCTATTACTCAAACATTGCCCAAATTCTGTATTTGATCTACACAGAATATAGATTCTGTAAGATCATCTACCTCAGTATTTACTGTAGTATTACCTACTGAACATGATGATTGAATGTATGCGGAGGAAGGGAAAAGAAGCTCCCAGGGTTAGCAAATACACTCACAAGACTTTACAGTGCAAGATTCCCATTAACAGCCCCTACCAGAATTTGACTCAGGCCACTGTCACAGGAATGGTGGCCATTCCTCTCCCCTACTAGTGATGTTCCCCATACAGGTCTTCACACAACTCTCCATACTAAACTGGCTTCACACTGTCTTGCAGTCCTTCAGTATTCCTTATGAACCTGATGTATTTGATAATTTGATACAATTTGTTATTTGCATTATTAAAATCCATGTGGTAGGAGACTGACACCACCCTGAAGTTTATTGTATCATGTGTGTTGCACGAAATACACACAGTGAGAAAACCTATTCCAGAAGATGCCATTCCAATGCCACTTTTCTCTGCAAGAGTCAGCAACACACTCACCATGAGCTATCACTTAAGATTACTAATGACTAATTCCTCCTCATCAATTGCCATGACCTAACAGGAACCATTCAACCAGGACAGCAAACAATACTCGGGGGTTTGGTTGGAATTTCTTTCAACCTAGCAAGACTATCTAAGTGCAGTTAACTGCTGCCATGAATGCAGTTGCTCACCATCTTGGTAAAGCTTTTACTGGGAATAAATTATACTGAATATATATATAAAGGGATCTTCCAATATACTTGACTACCTCTCTGCCATGAGCCTCCTGCATGACCCTATTCTGAGTTCAAACACAGCACAAGTATCTTTATATTGGTATTGCTTTGTCTGCACAAGATTATCACAGCCCACTGCTCATAGCCTGCAGCTTTCCAGCAGTACTGGGATGAATGGTGTAGGAGTGATCTCTGGCTCAGATGAAGCACATTTGGCCACATCAGCTTCAACACCTTCACTGCTTCAATGTTGTCCACTAAGACAAGTGAGCCAACACTGCCAGGAGCCCCCTAAGCTGTGCAGATCCTTCACCAGCAGAGCTGCAGGGACAGCACTCAACTGAGGAATTCACCAAGAAGCAGAAGAAGACCTCTCTAGTTGGCACCACTGTCAAGACAATCAAGACCTGTCACACTTAACACATCGATGCATTTAAAAGCAGTGCAACTCCTATTTCTAGGAAGGGCATCCGGTGTCATTTAGGGACGAGCCCCGTTTTGTGGGTCAACAATTTTACCTTTGCCACATCACGTTCCTGTAACATCATATTCTTTATGTTTGTTTTTTTCTATTACTGCCACAAAAAAGATGCTGTTATGTATTTCAGTGCGAAATGGAATCTATAGCTATGACATTTAACAGGCATGTCCTCTCAAACTTCTCATTTATAAGAGAGAAACGGTGAAAGAAAAGCATGCAGGTTTTTTCCACACACCTCTAAGAAATTGCCCATTATATAGTTGGCTGTTATCCATCCATACAGCCCTTCCTCTGGCCCCGTTATGATTTGCGCACCCCTAAAGTCAAAAGGCTGTGCTCTGAAGTAGTTTTGAATGCTCGCAAGGACTTCATTGGCTGCCGTTTCATTTTGCAACCTAAGCAATTCACAAAATATAAGACACTGAGCATCTGGAAAGGCAATTTCACGTTTATTGTTCACTGGCTGGCAAGTCAAGAGAATTCCTACCATCACCTAATGAAAAATAGAGGTTGTTTCCCCAAAGGGAAGTTTATGACAGGGAACAGCCATGTTATCCAACAGCATTTCAGCAAGCAACTCCCCCCCCTACGTATAAACTTCATTCTTTAGCCTACAAGCTCATGGGTATTTTGTTTCTTATATATATATATATACACACACATATACATATATATATATACATACATACACACATACACTTTCTTTTTCAGTGAACTGAATGCTTGCATGACAAGTGCTGGTCAGAACAGTCCTGGAGCCTTTCTTCCCACTCCATTCAGCCACAGAACTACTATAAAAAGCCAGTTTAAGCCAGGGCTAAAGCCACAAGCAGAGCCCAAAAGCCACATTAGCAGTCAGAAAACTCTGTGGGGCCCAGCTTTAATCTGCCTTTGCTGCCCACCAATACACACCATCATTACCTGTTTGCATAACACTGAATTTCAAGACAGGTATGGAAAGGAAAATTGAACTCTTGCCTTCTCCAGAATAAAGCACGATTTGTTTTCAGTACAGCACCACAGAGGATTTTCACACAGCCCCACTTTCCCTATCAGAAATGTTAATTAAATTAAATTGGCTGGGCTCCATTTCCTTTAGGGATGGCCAATTTCCAACGGATAAAAATGCATCCAGAACATTTGCAGAACATTTGGTTTCATAGACTGCTCTGCTATAATGCACACAGAGGAGCTCAAGTTTCTGCCATACCTCAGTAGCCTCATGCCAGCTGTAGCCCCCAGATAAACAGAAGTGTTCTTATGCAGATGAACCGGTATTCTCTCCTTGACTTTATTCAGGCAGTCATCAAAAGGTTTGGCAAGAGCTCCAAGGTTACTCTCATAGCTGGATATACCAGGGCCTAAAAGAGAACAAGTAGATTGATTTCATTCTGCTTTGCCAACTACAAATTAGCCCGATTAGCAAGCAGGTGTTAAGAGAAAGAGATTTACCCATCCCTCCTGTACTTGCAAACAAGGAGAGGATGCTTGATAGCTGGGAGTGCTTAATCAATGTAGTGACTGTCTCAGCTGTGGGAGATAGATACTTGCAAACTGCTCGCCTGTATTTCAGTGTGTATACATATACACCTCTATACCATGCCTAAAGGAAGATACACAGCATAACTGTGTGATAACACAGTGACAACAGTGCTATACTTATGAAGGAAATAGGCTTATTCATGGCAGATGCTGCACACAACAGCATGTCTTATGGATGTAAAACTTCTCTGATCTGCTGAAGTATAGAAAATCCCTCCTTCCACAACCTAAACCAGAGATTTCCCCATCTGGTTTGCCACAGCTGTTTTGGACACCATGGCACCTCTGCAGCTCACTGCTCTCAGCTCAGAACAAAATAAAGCAGCTTCTGCAAAGAACTGCTGGTGAAATTGCAAGATGCACATGCAGCTCTTGAAGTCCTAAGAGGTCCAAGTCTAAGCTGGTGATGAACTGATCGGCACCTCACAGCTTCCCAGATTCCCAAAGCCTTTGAATAATGGGAATGAAAGTTACATGAATAATTAACGTCAGAGTCTTTCCTCCCTTGCTCAACACTCCAAGGACCACCAGGTCCACAAGGAACCCATTTATGTCCAGCCACATTGCACTGAAAAAAGAACAAACCACAAAAATACATAAGACTTTACAGACTCCATGCTCTGCCACTCTCTTTTTCACAGTGTGAATCGTGTCATCATTAGATGGTTTGGCATAAGACCTTCTAAAAGTCTGAAGTCTAGCACAGGCAGGCCTGAAGCTGGAGGAAAAGCTGTTACTGGGAATAAACAGAGCAGCAACTACTGTTTTACATCCTGCCATTGCCTCACAGTCCCTTGGTGGCAGCAACCTCCATCTCCCAGTGCTCAGACAGAGCAGGTCACAGACAGTGACCGTTCTGTTTTGGACAAGTGGTTTGCCGGTGCTTACACCCTAACCAGGACAGATGAACTACACTGTTTAGAAAGGGTTTTGGGGCTGGTTCCCACACACAGGGCAGAGGTATCTAATAAAGGTAGATAGGAAATCACAAAACCACCCTGGAGCTAACAGAGTAGTTGATCATTTGACTTTCAAGTTCAGTAGGTATGTGAAAATCTGCCTCTCAATATGCCCTGAACCACCCCCAATTTAAGTGCTTAAGGCTATGAGTGGAAGGTCACTAAAGAAACAAGACAGATGTATTCACAGCTTAGATGGGGGACATTGTCTAGTGTGAGGCATCCCTGCCCTTGGCATGGAATTGAAACTGGATGATCTTAAGGTCCTTTCCAACCCAAACCATTCTGTACTTCTATGGGAACCTCTCCTTTGAGCCCTCTGTCTCCTCCAGTGCAGTTACCCAAGACTGGAGCAGTGAACCCTGGATATTTTGTATGCTGGAGGATGAGAGCTCTGGTTGATCATTGTTAAGGCTCTTGTAGACCTGAACGGTTCACAGCAATTTGGACTCATCCATTTCACAATTCTTTTCATATTCAGCTGGAATTAAACCAAAATCTAATCCAATTAAAACAAGTGCTCAGAGTACTCCTCTGTCATCTCTCCAGAAGAGTAATGCAGTTTCTCTGCAGGTTCTTCTCACACTATAATTCTTAAAGGCAATATTCTACCTTGCCTCTAATGAGTGAAGGCATGAGCTAGCAGAGTGCTTCCCCACTTCAGCAGGCTGGCCACCATTCCCACAGCCTGTGAAGACACAGCGTCAGGCACATGACAGTGCATTACATCTGTGCACATTACACTTGCTTTCCTTGTTCCAAAATTCCTAAGAATGCCCACACATGTTTAATGCTGAAGATAGCAATGCTGGTGCTGTTAGGAAGCTATTGCCTTATCTCTTAGTTACTCACGGACCAATATGACTGCATCGCCAGCATCTATTTGCAGACACAAAGAGTGATGTAGGACTGAGAGGGAAGGAAAGGGGAAAATTCCTGTTGAACACTACAGTTATTATGTGCAACAAAATCAGCACCGAGACTTCCTGAGCTGCCCCACCTTCTCCTCTTAGCTAACTGGCAAACCCAAACCCATACACTAAACAAAGCAGTACTGCTTAAGTCAGTACCTTAGAGAATACACTAAAGTTCATTAGGCTCAGGGTAGAATTTATGAAGTCTGGCTTCCTGCAGAAATCCCTTATGGATTAGCTACTGCTTAATAATACGGATTGCTCTTCCCTGCATGGCCACCTGTCTTCATAAAACGTGTGGAATTTTGGTATCTTTGAAAGCTTACTCAGGTATCACTGCGGTTGATACCTGAAGGAAGTAATTACAGAACAATTCCAGATGACCTGCATCACCTTGTTCCTCTAGGAAACCTGACTCAAACATCAGAGACAGGGTTTTAAACACCACTCCACCAAAATTAATGGCTAACATCTAAGGAGGGCAGATCCCCATTCTTCTCAAAGAGTTCTTCTTCCAAGCTCTTTTTTAAATATATTTTATACTTTCCTTTTAAAAAAAATCATTTTGGTGCACAAGAACTAAACATTGACAGGGCCTGATTCTCTGTAGATTGAAATCTGCCTGCACCGCTCATGCACTGCAGTTACTAAATCAGTAAATCAAGTTTAGCTACAGTTTCCCATCCCCACTGCAGATTAGAGCACGCTGCTGTATCAGTAGGAGAATGACTGATGCTGACAGATATAGACATAGCTTGAACAGTTCTGCTCCTCAGCAATAAAAAGGGAACATAGTGTATAAAAGGCAGTATAAAATTCCAGATAACGTCTTCTTAGAGGATAACTCCATTGGAGCTCACCTTTCACATTGCACTTGAAGGTTTGGCTTACTATTCCCGTGTCATTTTCTTTTTCTGCTGGCCATTCATAGACATAGATGGTAGTTCGAGAGGATCCTGCATCAAGGACTATTCCATACTGGGGATTAAAAAAGACTACATCAGATCAAGAAACAGACAGTGGCAGCTTAACAGCCCATATGCAGCTGTTCTTCTTTGCACCATCAAACACTGTAAAATATGTATGCACAGTATATTTATAACAGAGATTATTTCTAGTGCCGGGCACTTAGGCATGAATCCAACAGCCAAGCACAGAATGAATCTGGCTGCAAAACAAAGAACATCCCATGTATCTACAGCAATGAATTCAGTGGGGATGGAGAATGCTCATCCCATTTCAGCATGAGGTTCAAAATCCACACTAACACATACATAACACTGTGTCAGGATCTGATTTTACGGCAAGACCATTTCCTATTACCTCAGCTAGACTCCCTGTACACTGAAGGGTTTGATACCTAAGCACAGGTTTAGATTCAAGGATGCACAAGGGATCCATGAAGCCACAAGCAAAGAGGTAAAGTACATAGCAGCCCACAGTGAGAATGATGCAATGAGTCTGGTTCTTTTCTGATTGCTCCATAAGCCTCTCCCTTTGAGTGGTTGAGGCAGGCCACCTAAGAGTTTGCCATTGAAAACAGGCTGTGCCAGCGTGTGAGAAAACAAAGAGGGAATCAAGATTACCCCAGCTTTATTTATGAACTAAATGACAAACACTTCAGTGACTTGCCCCAGGTCACTTGGACTCCCTGTGGGATTAAAGCACAGGTTTCCTCGTCCCATTTCACTGGTACCCAGATGGGTCTTTCCCCCTTTCCTATCTTTTATGGCAATGGAAAACTGTAGAAATTGAGAAGGCAAACTGCATGACGGGAAGAAAACGGTGATTTTGCTTATCCTCTTTGTGATCCCTGAAAGCACGTTTAGCTGCCTGCCTCTTCCAAAGCCATCTCATTGGTAGGAATCTCATGCTGTAGAGTTCATTTCTCTGTTAACGTTTTTTCCTTTCCAAACCACAGCTGCCTCAGAGCCTGGCAATACTGGAAAATGAGAGCTTCCATCTGGCTGCAAAGCAGGACAAGCCTCTGCAGCGAGCCAATGCATTTCATCCCACTGCCTCCCTAGGGAGCCTCAAGTCTGATGGAGAAGGATCACTGCTTCAGGTGGTAAACCATTCAACTTCCACACCCCATTAATCTCCAGATCCCACTGCAGTCCTACACTCCTGAACCCCAAAGAAATACCAGCACTTCCAGTCTGGTCTGTTGCCCAGAGGACTGTTAGACAGTGAGAATTCCATTTATACTTATCCGGATGATGTTTACCCTGATCAACCAAAAGGTGGAAGGCTCCACAGCTACCAGCAAGCCACTACACCATCAGGTTCTGTTCAAGGAACTGCTTTAGCAAAGATACTGCGAGTGTATTCCCGCTCCTTGAAAGAGAGATAGATAAGCACTGTGGAGACACATAATACAGTAATGGTCAATTTGCTCAAGGGCTATTAATTTAATCCAGTCTCAGGCAGCTCGAAGTGCCAACCATAAGCTTTTAGCTTAGCTACTTTAAGAGCTATCATGGCCAAGGAGAGCTGGAAGATAATGGAAATATTTTTACCCTGGCTAGCTGTGGGGCTTTTTGACCTACTTCCATCTTTCCCTGTATTTCCAAGCCTCCTGCCTGAAAGTTACAGGTTTCAGTTCCAAAGAGTAATGCTGCACTTATCTGAACCAATGTGTTCATTATTTTCTTCCTTCTCCACCTCTTTTCCCCCGAGTCCTTTTGAAGAGATGCTCATTTTTGAAGAGGGCTCCTGAGCCCATTGCAGGGTGACTTGTGAAGCTCCTCTGAACTTGGGCAAGTTCACTCTGTGTGAACCGGTCCATGCAGCATCATGAAGCAGTGATCACAGAGAAGTGTGCCAGATACCAGGACTAAGATTAATCTTTAATTAAACAGAAATGACAGAGGATGCAGCATTTTAAGAGAGTGAGAGAATTCTTAAAGCTGGCCCAGTTATGATGCTTTGGAAAACTACCATGAGAAGCTAACAAGCTAAACCAGGAGGATAGAGGCTATAAAAATGCATCCATGCCAGAAGCACACTTCAGTTCAGCTACATAGGCTTGAACTACTTTTAATCAATTATATGATCCACAAACAAGGCCAAAACACTCCCGAAGAGCCAAAAGAGACATGCAAAATTTAGGTGTAGAGAACTGCAGCACCTGGAGAGGTAAATTAAAGAAACACAATAATGAAGGGAGGGCTTTTTCTCTTCAGGGCTCACCAAACATCATTAGACAACGCAAGATGTTTCGACTGGTACAAAGGCTCACTACATTCAGAGCTGGCATCATCTACAGTTCTGGGCTTCTTCACAAACTATGTCAGTGAGGATGGCTGTGCTCTCTTCATCAGTCTTCTGACTTCACAGTGTGTGCCACTAAGTCATGAGCTCTTTCAGTGCCTCAGCCTCATGCACATGGCCAGACCCTTCCTTCACAAATCCCTGGCTCAATCTTCAGATAACCTAGGGAACCAAACCATTTACTTCTGCAACAACGCTTTAAAACATAGCACAACAGATAATTTCTCTCTTGGTCCACAAAGGAATGAACCTGGACCCTCTCAATGTGCATCCTGGGAAAGAACTATTATAACACAAACTCTAGTTATCATTCAGTAGCTGTTTGGTTTTATGGAGAAGAGCCAGAAGAACAAGGCCATCTGCAAAGAGTAAGTCTGTTTTCATCATGTTATTGTCATATGTATTTAATTTTAATCAACCACTAACATCAGGACACTGCCCCTTCCAGGCTCCATCAGATCAACTATTGGAAGGTTTCACACTGGCATAACCAAAGTCCTCCTTTTGTGAGTGTTAATCATTAACTGAGGACCACTGAGCATCTCTGCACACACAGGATCCTCTGTGTCAGCTGGGATTTTCTGCATTGGCAGGCAGAAGATTAGTCTTCCTTCAGAACCAGCCATGAAGCTGCTGAGATTGAGAAAGCAGATCTCCCCACCTAAACCAAATGGTCAACATGGGTCTAACAGTTGCTCAAAGGCAGACAACTTCATCCTCCTGAATGTGAAACTGAATGGATGACAAACACAAGCAATGCGTAGGCTGTCTTTTAGATAGTGGCTTCAGCCTACAGGTCAATCCAGTCTTGCCTTGCATGAAAAATGGCAGGATGTAAGGCTGAGATTCACAACAGGGAGTAAACCTGAGGCACTGTCCCCCTATGCAAGATCCCAGTGTGCACACCCTGCCACACCACAAACACATAAAACTGGTATTAGAATACAGTTTTATCCCATTGTATGATTCATACACACCACCAAACGATTTATAACTTCATGAAGTGTAATAACACATTGGCCTATTGTTATGTGAACTATCCAGTTAAGTGCTTTCGCAGAGGGAAAAGCAAAAAGGACTTCAGAGAAAGACTTGACAAGGTTTATGTGCTTACAGCTATTGTTGGCAGAACTCAAACTGCCAGACTGCACAGCTTCCCTAGAAGGCTCATTTCTACACCTTTGTCCCCAGTTGCATGCATCTCTCACTGAAGAACCAGCACACATACTCCAGCAGCACAAGACAAAGCCTGAATTCCAGAGGACATCACTTTACCTCTTCCAGTTTGCTCTGCCCCTCCTTGTGAAGCTGCTTTGCTTCTGTTAGTATCTGGCAAGACTCAATACATGCTAAATCATAAAGTGCACACTCAGCCCAAATACTTTTGATACACAGCAGCAGAGTGCAAAGATCTCAGCATAAACTTCCTGGCTCTGCTTGGGGGGGAGTGTGCAGAAATTAAACTTTTAAATTCAAAATTATTATACTATTACTTTAAATCTGGCAAAGCCAGAAAAGCAGTGGCAGATTCACGTTTGGCCTTTCAGTCCTGGAGAAGACGTTATGTGATAGGCATCACAGGCAATGAGGGAATGCTTTTCCTGTTTTGCCACTGACTCTGTGATCTTAAGCAATTCTCTTTCTCTCTCAGCTTCAGTCTTCCCAATGTGATTAAGCATTAATTTATGTTTCATTTGACTCATCCCATAAAAAATTAGTTTAGAAAGGGACATTATTAAATATCAGTTGAAAACACTGTTCTCCTTCCTCAGGTATCCCAAGACTTACCTTAAGCCCTGGGGAGAGGATCTGTTGCTGATTTATCTGAATCACTGCAATAGCAATGACAAGAATAATGCTTAGAAGAAGGAATGCTTGAGCAACAACACTTGGCGTTCTGGTGAGCATCCTGAAACAATAAAAAGATAAACACTTAAGCAATGTGAAAGAACTCAGTGATTCTGTCTCAAGGCCTGAACTCAACTGAATCAGGTGAGGCTCCTCCTAAAATCTCATTTCGTCAACTAGATCATACTGCATGAAAACCCTGTGTTCTCCTCAAGAGCTGCCGGGTGGTTTGTTACCACTAACTTTTCCTTGCTGAGCAGGGAGGTGTCTATATTGTCATGCTAATGATGCCAGATTTCACACTCAGGTCCCAGTCCGCTCCTTTCCCCACAGTGCCTACATGTAGATACACGCTAACCAGCTCCCGTTGCCCCAGGAAAGGAGAGCAATGGGCATGCTGGGGCTAGTGCATACTCAGCAATCCCACGTATCCCTACAACACAGACACAACCACAGCCATGCAGGCACAATGCTGGTGGCTGCTGAGCACAGCTGGATGCTTCTGCCAGAGTTGTAAGGCAGATACAGCCTGCTTCAGCAAGAAAAAAGGTTATAAGAACATTAAGGCAGGCATCTTTCTTTTATCTGCTGATGTGTTCGTGTACATGTGGGTGTGCATATTAATACACAGCCTATTATGATCACTCTTCACATAAAACAAACAGTTTAACTTGTGATGAGAAGTCACTCAATCCAAACAAATCTAACATGTAGTTATGTCAGACAAACCCAAAGGTAACATGGAACATGCACGCTGACGGTAAGGCTGTTGATCAGTTCATATCCTCCAGAAAGGTTTTCTAGGATTCAAATGTGGTTTAGGTTTCCTGTTATTTCCGTTCATCCTTTATTTCTCCATGCCCTGGCCAGACAGCTCTTCACGCCAAAAGGCCTTTCAACACCTCAGAGTACTGACAATTCCCACATCAGAAATCCTTATGCTCCACAGGGGTTGAGGAGGAAAGGGGTGATGCCAAACAGCAAGCTTAGGAGTGTCAGAGGAACACAAGAATGAGCACTTCCCTGCCTTTCTCATTTCCAGAAACCACATATTTGAGCACAGAAATAACAAGTTATTCTGGTGTGATCGATCCTGACCCCCATCTCCTAATTCTTCCATACCAACAGTGGAGCATACCAGTGGCTGTTAAGGGCTGTCCTGTTCGGCAATTGCCAGTGCAAATCTGTGCTGAGGACAGGAGCTAAGAGGTGGTCTGTAGTCCATGGCCACAACTCACTGGGTCAGCCCCGTGGTCTCCTTAGCTCCAACCAGAGACAGCTGAGGGACAAGGCAGAATGTTTCCTCATGCAGTTTCCATGTTCTAAACCCCATGAGTTCTTCAGCCTGCGTACCCATGGTCCAACACCTATGTTCACATTCAAAAGAGAAGCAAGGTATTTGTCAGGTTTGGGGACTGGCTTCACTCTGAGCTTTGCCCATTGCTTCCACTTTCCTTCTCTGTCTTCTGATTTCTGTTGTGAAATGTAACCCAGACTGGCTTTTTAGAAACTGACACATTTCACTTCCAGAATGTCAGGGTTTTATACTCATTGGCCCCCTTTTCTAAGTCCATATGGGCTCCTTGTTTACTGCCAAGCTACTTTCCCAATACTCTCTTTTCTTGGCTTGATAACAGCTTTATCAATCATCAGCCAGTTTAAAATTACTAGCCACGCTGGTGATTTATTTACTCATCCATTGCTTTCCTATCCTGAGGCAATCAAGCATCATGTACACCATGAATAAATGGCAGTGAAACCTTATTTTTACCATCAGAATATAACAGTTATGAAGAACTCTCACTGTAACCTGCGGATGATGTAAGGGATACCAATTAGAAGCACTGATACACATCAATTCCTTCTTTAAAAGAGACAGCAGGTTTTAACTGTACATTTATCAATAACCACCTGGGTAAAATACTTGTCTTTAGGGAGAGAAAAAACCTTTAGCTTTAGCTTTCAGATATGCATGGAGTTATCTGTAATTGCAAAGTGACTACAAAAGAACTATCTGCTCATAACTTAACATATACCAGCCACTCCTGCATCAAAGCACTGCTGTTCAGTGCTGGAGACATTAAGTCATTACCCAAAAAGCCCCACTTAGAGCAAATGACTCTTTGAAAAACCAAAGCATTGCTGAAGAGCAAAGCAGTAACCACTGTTACAACAGTAACACTTAAGCACACCCATGATGACTGCTGCAGTGGTTTGCAAAGGGGAAATGGAAAACTCATTGTGTTGAATTTCTCACCTGCTTCCCTGGTGCTGGGATTTGTCTTCACTAGAGATGATTTCTCTTGGCAAAAATCAGTTTTGACGGGGAGCACATGAAGTAAGGGAGCATCTCTTAAGACATTCATATAATCAGGACAGGTTCATCAGAGAATTATCTCTCTATCCTGATTTGCACAACAGCCTCTGTGTCAGAAGGACACCTCATGCAGCTGATATCTTCACTATGTGAATTGTGCAAGACGCTGCAAGATTTCACACAACTGGATCAAAAGCACAGGCCTGTATTTACTTTTAGCTACACTTGCCTAAATCTCACACACATACGGGGCAATACAGTCACACTTGCCCCATTCACTGCAACCTGTAGAGATACCAGGGATTTCATTTGCTCCAGTTCAAGCACAACTGCAGCACAACTAACTCTCGCTAACATTGCACACTTGCAAATTAAAGTTAAATGTAAGACTTTTATGAAGGATTAAAAGGCAGCTGCATTCCATTATTAAAACATTATCATCCTGAAGCAAGAAACAGCATTCATATGTATTTCCCACACCCAATGAGGCACACTGGTTCACACGGCAACATACTGGAAGGATCGCTTTCTACACCTTACTTCCAGCAAAAGGCACTCTTTCCTGCAAAGGAAAATGGACTAAACTTCAAGCCACCAATGTTTTGAGTTTAACTAGGTTAAATACACATCTCTATAAATGACAGTGCATGTTATACATGGAAATCCCTTTTCCCAAGTTATTTGGATTTGTTTTAGGTACTGACCTGTTTGTTCATAGGGTGGGTAGGCAGGCAAGCGCTGTAAGGATGTTCCTCTTTCTTCACACTGTAACCGGAGAGATGCAAACACATCAGCATTTATTTTACACGTGGTTTACAGGTCACTGATTTTCAAGCGCTGAAAAGGAAAACAAAAAGAAAGAAAACACCAACACCCGAAACGTTTTTCAACCCGCAGTAAAAACCCATGAGGAGGCTTCACAGGCTGGAGATATCAAGTCAGAACAAGTACATGGACCCCAAATCATCATCCACGCCTTCAGCTTCACACAACGACCGTGATTTGCGAGAAAGCACCAAGTTTTCACCCCACACAATCGCGGAAACAGACAGACAGACACTCACACACACATACACATGTACATGCACATACCCCACCGCCGCCCACCCCATCAAGGGGCTCTCCCCTCATCTCACCTCGGCGGGGGTACCGCTGGGTGGTAAAACGCCACCTCCGCCCGGCTCCCTCCCCGGGGATGCCCCGCACCGCTTCCCACCCTACCTCCGCCAGCTGCGGCTTCCCCAGTCCGTCCCGGGTGGAAGAGAAAAGGCAGAGGGCTGCACCCTTGGAGCGAGGATGTGCGAGCGCTTCTCGCCACGGAGGGACCCACCCTCTGCTCACGTTATTTCCAAAGAGCTTTAAAGAACCCCCCCCCAAGCTTACCGGTAAAAGGCCCGGTGAAGTAGTTCCAGTGGAGGGAGGAGATTGACAGCGAGTGGATGCATCTGTGGCGCTACCGCAGCCGGCAGAGATGAGAGGCGTGCGGATGAGGCTGTGCCCTGACTGGTGCGGTCCCTCCTCGCAGCCCGGCTCAGGCGCTGTTGGAGCGGCTCCAGCGGCGGGGCAGGTCGCGCTGGAACCGAGCAGCATCCGCCTGCACGAAGAGCCGCAGCGCGGCCGTGTCTCCCTCCTCTCCCCCGCCACCAGCCGCTTGCCTCTTTCCAGAAGCGCCGAGCTGGTTTTTGTGTGCACACAGCCCGATGCTGCTGGCAGCCCCTACATCATATTCCTCAGTTCCCTCCCATACAGAGAAAGGGTTTAGTCTAGAGGTGACACTATGGGTGAAAGAATGGTATACCCCTGCCTCTTCTGAAAGGAGCAAGTGCTTTCCCAGGAGGGCTTTTCTCAGCCCTCAGGAACAAGCAGTCTCAGGGCTACCTTTCCATTCAAGTTCAAGCGCACTGGCACCACTTGTTCTGTAGTTGTGCTGGAGTTCTGGTCAAACTTGGACTGCTCAGTGAAGCACATACCCAGAGGCACAATAACAGCCAAGTCACTGAGATCCTTATCCCATCACTGTCTGACCTGTGTGATCAGCTACAGCTGAGGATCATCCTGCAGGATGAGTTTGCCATCGACATGAGCTCATCACAGTGAGACGCCTCTACCACTGTGCCACCATCTGCTCATTGTTCCAGGATTCAGATTCACATAATGTAAAATACCAAATGCACCTCTTGATCCCTTCTGTCATAATGATCTTGATGGATTACAGTAATGTTGGTGTTTGAATAAAGGAGAATAAGAAACTACCTGAAGCCTTGTGAGACATCTATAAGCATCCTTCCATAGTGTACTCATTTTGGAGTGGAGATAATTTCCCTCTTTTTGATGACACTGCACTATTAAAGCTGGTTTAATTATGATCTTGGTGGATGAGTTCAGCTATTTCTAGCACGTGGAGACGAAGCCTCCCATCCCTCCTTATTCCCTGTTGCAAGTAACTCCTCTCTCCCCCTCCCGCCCACCCAATATGATTTCCATTCCTGTGGCATCCGTTCCTTCTCCCATCCAAGTGTATTTGTTTTAGTGCATTTAGTCCAACTGACTGTACTGGTCTGCTCTGCTGTGGCATAATCTGTCTCAGGTGCCCATTATAAATGACAAGGTAGCTGGATTGCTTTGTCACACAAAAGCTTATTCTTTTGCTATCATCAAACATAAACATTTTAAAGTAAAAAATAAAGCACTGACATCCACTTCAACCAGTCCTACAACTCGCCCCCACCCGTGACTAAAATGTACCCCTTGAAAAGAAAGCAAACCCTATCTTCTATATTACCTGCTTCTATAAAAGCAGCCATAAGAGGTTCTTTTTCATTCTGCACCATTTCCAAGAGCTGGGCTGTTGCACAAGATGCTTTTCTTGTGACATTTATTGCCATGCTAAAGCGATGCTAGCAGCGTAAGTGATATGAGCTATAAAATACCCCAGCCGCTTCATAGTCCAGAACACCGGTCCTGAATCAAATGGTCCAGAAATGAGATTCCCCTCCAGGCCTGTCCAGTGTCTAAGGCACAGTAAGTGGTTCTATTGGTTCCCCTGCTTCAACCGTGGAGACCCATCCTAGACTCACTACTTTACCTTCTTCTTTTGTTAAATCTACCTCTTTGGCTTGTATTCAGGTGCCTCCGCAGCCCCAACCTCCCTTTTATAATTCCCTTTATCTGATCCTCAATCTCTTCCTCATTCCCAGGGCATAGATAAAACTTGCTGCCAACTCCAAGCCTGTAGCATGCACACTTCTCTCCATCATTTCCTTTGCTGCAGCACTTTTTTCTTCTCTCCCCTTCAGGTACCCTTGTTTGAATGCATTTGGTATAACTAACTGCATTGATTTGTTGTGCTTGGACAGAATCTGCCCCAGGTGTCCACTTAAAAATTACAAATGAGTTGGATTCCTGACAGCCCCAAGGAAAAAAGCATTGCTTTTGCTACTGTTGAGCACGAATATATGGAGTTAAAAGACAGTGACTGATATTGGCACATTCATCTATGAATGCCAGTTGCTATGGTCAATAGCAAATCTCTAGAAACTAAAATATTATGGATATGAACACAGTGTTTGTTACACATTTCTGCTGCGCATTTATGGTGTCACATTTACATGGGTTACACAGCAGATACTGCACCATGAAGCCTCAGAACATCCATAGGGTGAAATGAAGAGAAACTTAATGCAAAAATGGAGGTAAGAAGGCACTGGTGGCTGCAGCAAGATGAGTCTAGTTTCTATCATGGTACTTTGCCAGTTCACAGGAAAGAGATCCATCCCCAATTCTGTGCATTCTTCACAACATTCAGTAAACAGAGGCTTTCTCGTGTTCCTTCTAAGCTTCCACTGCCTTTTCCACCATTTGTGTTGATGTTGGCAGATATTTGTGATGCCCTTGAGCTCAGCCGTCACTTCCATCAGTCTCAGAATGAATCATAGAATCATGGTTAGGGTTGGAAAGGACCTTAAGATCATCCAGTTCCAGCCCCCTGCCATGGGCAGGGACACCTCACATTAAACCATGTCACCCAAGGCTCTGTTCAACCTGGCCTTGAACACTGCCAGGGATGGAGCATTCACAACCTCCTTGGGCAACACATTCCAGTGCCTCAGCACCTTCACAGTAAAGAACTTCTTCCTTATATCTAAGCCAAACTTCCCTGTTTAAGTTCGGATCCATCAGCCCTTGTCCTATCATTACAGTCCCTGAAAACCTTACTGGATGCTTTCTTCCCAGGACTTTTCATCAGTGTTGACAAAAATCCTTTGTTCACTTAAGTTTCTGCTCCCAAATACCTCCTGTCTTCATGTTCACCTCCATACCTCAGGATCCATTGCGGGAACAGGCAATGCAGGCAGAGCTGTCTAAAGAACCTGGGAGCCTCTGAGCCAGCAGGACATTTAAATTAAATAATGTTTCTAGGCTACTTTTATGATCAATATTTTATTCCAAATCAAAAAGCACATTTTCTAGTTGATGTTTCAGCCAGTCATCCTACATACTGTGTTGCAAGAAGAGCAATGAAGATGGGGAAGGGTCTGAAAAGCAAGTCTCTGAGGAGTGGCTGAGAGAACTGGGGCTGTTTAGCCTGCAGAGGAGGCTCAGGAGGGGACCTTATTGCTGTCTAAAAGTACCTGACAGAAGGATGGAGAGAGGAGGTGTCCGGTTTTCCTCCTAAGTAGCAAGTGGTAGGATAAGAGGCAATGGCCCCAAGTAGTGCCAGGGGAGTGTTAGATTGGCTATTAGGAAAAATTCCTTCACCAAAAGGGTTGTCAAGCATTGGAAGCGCTACACCCAGGGAAGTGCTGAAATCAGCATCCCTGGAGGTATTTATGACCTGTAGATGCGGTGCTTAGGGACATGGTTCAGTGGTGGACTTTGCAGTGTTAGCTTAACAGGTGGACTTCATAATCTTAAAGGTCTTCTCCAACCTAAATAATTCCATGATTATAGCAGCATAGCTTGTTAATTGCCAGACTTAGGAAGAGAGCTCCCTAGGTTTTTGAGCAAGGAAATCACCAATCTGAAAACTATGTTTAGAAGAATGTCCAATCCGACTCCCCTCAGAGATCGAGACTGCAGCCTTCTGTTTGACACAGCATTTGCTTCCCTATATTGTTCTGTCATCACTGACAAAAAGGAGAACACCATAGAGCAAATTCACAGCTACTGCAATGAGAAATACAGTTTTGAATAACGGCTGGATCTAAACATTGCCTTTTCTTTCCATCAGTTTCACTGATGGTGTCTTTGAAATACTTAGCTACTTGTCAATTCCTGTTTCTATTCCCTTATTGCAGGATTAAAACCAGTGGATTCAGTTTCTGAATCTTCTGTCTCATGTATATGACTCTTTAGCAGTTTTATGAACAGGTAATAACAGTTTTCTGGACCTCATCTTCTTCTTATGAGGTCTTGAGAGAAATAAGAATTTAATTCTGAAGCTGAACCAAAATACATTCTAACCTATTGATTTCCCTTCTGGAGACATGAAGCTTTACCTTGCATCTCTTGTCCAAAGAGTCAGAGCTGCTATAATCAATCAAAACCCCCAGGGACAGTCTTGATCACATGGTGATGAGCCAGCACAAGTTGTAGGCGCAGGCAGAATAAGCACGTAATTAGGGCAACAAATTGCTGGGACAGCAGAAAAAGGCAGCCCTTTGTCTGTTCTGCTGTGGCCAAGCTTTTGAAAGCCAGACTGCAGCAGGAGAGGGTGTGGGCCAGCCCTGTTACACTGCTGGAAGAGAGGAGCTTCCCAGGAATAACAGTGACTCTTCCATCCCTCTTGCTCCCTGCCCTTAAGCTGCAAGCCAA